GTGCCAATATTGGTGGGGACTGTCCCTGTCCGGTCAACGTTGGTGGGGACATGTCCACACCAGTCCTTCAGAAAGTTACGCCCTTGGGTTGAATAGTCCTCAATAAATTCTGTTTAATTAAAGGAAATGGTTCATTGATGTGTTTCTCTCTGCAGTTCAAGCACTACAAACAGACGCGGTCCTTCATGATCTGAGGGCGAGCAGGAACAGTTCACTCTCAGCACCCTGGAAAAGCTGCTTTTTGCACCAAACACAGATGGACTGAGCAGGACAAGGCAGAGTCATGGAGGACCTGAAAAAGACTTAACCTTGTTTCATTTATTCTGACGCGGCACGCTTAAAAGCACAACTTCATCCCAGTTTGAAATGCTAGATAACATTTCTTATAATCCCCTTCACCTTCTCTGTGTCTGAATGCATTCTGTGTGTAAAAATGGTTTGGAAATCCCTGTAAACGTCATTTTTTTTTATCTTTAGGCTTAAGCTGCCTATAGGTTAGTGTTTTTAAGTATCTGCAGCTATTTTGCCAAAGTTGTACATAAAACGTGTTTAATACTATGTAGATTTTCTTGTTTGTTTTATATGAAGTTATATGCATATTTTATAAACCTGTTTGGATGTGACCTCATGCTGTTTTTGCTTTGTATAAACTTTATTCTTGTATACAGTACGTTTGGTCGAACAGGTGTCTGCACACACTGAATGGTCCCTCAAACCTTTTTTTACTCATATTTTGACAAATGTTTAACATAATAAATCAATAAATAACTGAGGAATGTGTTTAGGCTTTATTAGAACTCATTTGCAGGAAGAGAAATATGTGATGTTTGGCTGTTACAGTATCGTCATCACGTCCTTTAGTTTGTTTTCAGTCCTGCTTGTCAKTGTGGAATTATCAAGCCAGAGTCTGTGTTTTCCAGGAACACAGGAGGATTAATTATAAAGAAAAAAGTCTTATCCCATATCATGTCATATTGCCTTCATCTTCTCTAAACGTGGAAACAATTTATTCAATTTCAAGATTTTCACACAGACTTTTAGCTATTTGTAACATTTGTRCTAATTCGCTGAATTGAAAATATTTGTCACAATAAACTTGAAATACTTTTGTACAAAACAATTTAACAAATTTTATTGGGTAGTAATCCATTAAAAGGGGCGGCTGTGGTGGTGGTTAGGGGAGTCGTCCTGTAACTGGTAATTGTTGGTTTGATCCCCTGTTCCAGTTGTCTCAGTCGTTGTGCTCTTGGGCAAGATACTTGACCCGCCTTGCCTACTGATGTGGGTCAGAGGGTCCAAAGGCACCGGTGCATGGCAGTGTGCACCGGGGCAGCTGTGGCTACACTGTTTGCCACCATCAGTGTGTGAATGTGTGAAAGGGTGAATGTCTGTAGTGTAAAGTGCTTTGGAGTCTGTGTGGACTTGATAAGGTGCTTTATAAGTTCAAGCCTATAACCATAAAAGAACAAAGGGACTAAAAGTCTAAAACTCTTAGACACGTCTTAAACGAGTCAGGAGGACCAACCTATTTCAGAGTATAAAAAAGTGTACCAAGGCATCATGAAGGCTAGACATAAGGTGGATAACCTCATTTCTAGCCCCCATGATGCCTTGCATGAAGTATGGGAATGATTTCCAGTGCAAACCAAAACTAGCATTTGTTTATGTGCAAACAGTACAAGCTAACACGGTTTCTCTGAGCGTTGTGGATTAAAACATGTGAGGACAACACCTGACAGAGCTCAAACAGTACAATATAATCATGCCACTGCCTGCTGCAGTCGAGGGACGGGAGGACAAGAAGAAGTGGCCATGAGGACCATATAGTAGCATGTTTAGCTACTTTAATGGCTCGCTTGCCTCAGCGAAGAGATGAGCAACCTGAAAAGTTCTGATGCATATCCTATAGTAATATATTAATAACAATAAGGTCAGTTGTGTTTTATTAAAAGAAGTGGGGAACAATCTTATTTACCTTAAAGGGATCCCCGATTAGTTGTAACATTAGACTTTATTTGATCAACATATAATTTAACTATAAAATAAAGACTGTAAAAGTACTGTAAGCTGTTTAGTTTTGTAAATTTTTAAAAATATATTTAATACAGACRGAGCCATTTTATTTACACACAAAGCATTCTGGGTAAATGATGACGTGGATAGGTCCT